AACTTCTTTCGAATGAATTGGCTGCTTCTTTCCTCTCTTTGGTTGCTCACATGCTAGCAAGTAGTACCCATCTTCGCGGTGTGTGGTTCCAGTCTATGCAGCGGGCAGACTCTCGGGGATATCTGGAAGCGCTCATTGGCATGATTACAGGTGGTTTCTCACATCCCCTGACTCGGAAGATACTGGACCCATCCCATAGTAAAGACATTGAGGACGGCCACCAGTTGGGGCTCACCTTCATAGCGAGGCAGTACGAGAGCAAGTTGGATGCAGTCGTTAGGGCATTGCTCAGGCTGGGGCTCTCAGATGTGTTGGAGGATGTATTTCCCCATACCTCGAATTATTTATTGACTAGTGTATTCCAATCTAGTCCGGTTCGCATATATTCATTATGCCAGGAACCGAGGGAGTTTTAGGTCTAAAGTGTTGCGGGGGTCCTTTTATCCAATTCAATCAAAAGAATTGATATAGACCACCAGAAAATCCTCACACTTTGCTTTTCAGCTTAACCAAAAACCAAATTACTCCCCAATAGCTGCAGTTTTACTAGCAAACAACACTGAAAACAAAAGTCTCATCTCGAGTTCAAGATCAACACCTCGAGATTGATATCAACAAGTTGACCTAAGAGTATCAAGTAAAAGCATTTGCACTACGCTAAAAGCTACTGTAAAGATCTTTCGAGTGTTTGAGTTTGAGAGAATGAAAGTTATGAGAGAGATTAGAAAGCTACGAGAAACTAATCCATAAGAGAAATCGTTGTGAAGCTCATTGAATGCGTCGATAGTGCTCCAGTCTCGAATGGCTCATGGTATCTTTGGTTGTGCTTGCCGCTTTGGCAACAACTTGGTGCAACTACCGACACCTTTGGCCCATGAAATATTGTATGATGGGCATCTCTGTCCACCTAGAAATAGCTAGCTAAACCTGGTAAAGCCTCAGTTATTTGGAATTGCCAGTATTGTCGCATGGTATCAGCGATCTGATCTCCGGCTTATCCTCTGCTAAGCTTGCTTCAAGCGCAAAAGATTCGCCAGCCCTTGCACGAATAAGGAGGATCTCTTGCACGTATTACCAGTAATTCGAAATAAGTAACTCGTACAAGAAATTTGGAAGCAACCACTCGACACTTCCATCCAAGAAATTTGGAAGCAACCACTCGAACACTTCCACCTCCACCATCGACCACGAGAGCAAACCTACGACACTCTCAACCAGAGAGCAACCTATTGACACTCTCACACAACACGCAATCGAAAGACGAAAGACGCTTTCAACAGCCAACAACAACAAACAAGAACAACAAGAAAATCGCCACGACGCAACCGTTTGACCGTTTGAGAAGGTATCCAGCAGTCCACCTACCAAGTCAAGCCTCTAACAAACTCTGTGACACCTCACTCCTGACGGCAAACTTCCTGTTGGTAGCTCATTGTCACTCTATTGTACTGGACATACATTGTACTGGACTTTTGCCGCACCTCTGTACTGTTCCATTCTGTTCTGAAAGCAAGCAGAGCCTTTTCTTGGATCTTCCGAACTCCGTGAGCAACCAGGACGAGAGCAACCACACACACACCGACGAAACGACGACACACAGCAGAAACTCGCTACTAGCCAGCTACCAACATCTTCGTTTTGAGACACACAACAGTAATTTCTACAGAACTTGCCGTCTGTTTATTTAGATTACTTGGATACCTGCTGAATGACCCAGAACTCACCCAGCAATATCTGCATCTGAATCCAACGACTCCAACCAAACCAGAACCTCCAACCAGCTATTCCTAGCAACCTCTACGAATACATTCCAGTCTCGTGTCACCCACAGCAAACACCCTTCTCGGCTATCCAGACTCTCAGAACCCTCGTTGATTACAACGAAATCGAAACCAACATGGCTGAACCTGCGCCCACTGTCAATCCAACCTTCACTCAAGACCAGCTCCTCGAACTTCTCAGGGCCGCTGGACGACAACGGGATGCATTTCCTACTCTTGAGAAGCCCCGTGTTGGAGGACTCAATGCGACTGGAGCTTGGACTGGACATGGTGTCGGCGGAGAAGGAACTTCTCCCATGAGCGCCCAGTGTATGAGAGACTTCAAGACGGATGTGATCAAGAACCATCAAGCTCTTTCTCCCATTGAACTGAAGTGCAAAGAGGGACTGAGTGGCTCACCCGACCTTCTGTTTAGTCTCCCTGGCGAACCAAATGCGGACAAGGCAGTGCCATAGCTCATTGCTCTAAGCGAGTTCATGATCCCAGTTGGGATGGAAAGCGTCTTTAGAATCATTCAGACCGATGGCACTCAGTTGGACATGCTTCTCCTGCCTGGCATGGTTTCCAGTGACATTGAGCGAACTTGGCATAAGGATCTAACGGTCAATGGAGTTATCAAAGTGGATGATCAGGTCCGTCCTGTCATGGCCAACGGTGCTATCGATCGTTTTGCTCAGTGCTCATACGATGCCCAGAACCTGCATTGGTCAGGTGAAGCCGTGCTCAACTCTTGTTCGCCAACACTCATGCAGGACCTTAAGCAAGTAGGTATCACACTCGGCGATACTTCTAGGAGCAAGAGCTCAGAATTCCTCTGGGATAGCTCCAACAGCCACGCTGGCCTATAACAGCTCCAGCATACCCAGCTGGCTCATCTCCCACCAAAGCAGCAAGAGAGTATCGTCCATCCTACCATTGAAAGAAGAAGCAGAAGAAGGCGCCAGCCATCTAGGGTGAAGCTTGGCATGAAGATGTCGGTGGCCAAGGTTCCCAAACTAGACCCAAAGGGTGCCATTCGGCATGCTAGAATCCAGGGGTCCTTTGCCTTGCCCCCCCTCATTCCTTCTATTTTGGCATCGCTACCATGACAGCTGTTTTGGTTGCTTCCAGGGGTGCTGTTTTGTATCCAATGCCACCCTGTGTTCTTGCCGCACCTTGTCTATTGATGCAATATTTGGTTACGGATTCGGTAACCATTTCTCCCCGTCTTATTCCTGTTAACCATAACAATCTTGTCTCCACATTGTTGTGATTCAAAACCTCTCTCTACAGTAAACACCAGTAGTATCCTTAAGGATTCTACTGGTATACAGTGACTGCACTATGCAATACATGTACACCGTTTCCCTCATGGGACTCACACATGTGGCTGTTGTCAGTCATCCTTCACCCTAACCCGAGTCTTTGTGGACAAGACTCAGTGTTCATGATTCAATAGCCAATCATAGCCATTCCATTTGAAGAACCCTTTGAGAAGTATCCCGCATTCTCAGCCAATCATTCATTCGAATCCGGAACGCGTGGAATGAACTTCCACGCTACTAGCATTAACTAGCAAACTGGAATGTGTGGAAAATACTTCCACGCTAACATTGCACGTACAGACCAATGAGGAAGTACGCATTCTATGCCCTTGGAACTCCCGTAGTTGCCACTCTATGATTAAAGATGCCACTGCATGATTAAAGATCGTACGACGACTCCTGTAGCCACAGTAGACAACAAGAGGATATGTCCGATTCAGAGGTCTATCCAGCCCTCACTTTTGATTAGTTTTTCCTCTCTTTTCTAATCTCACAATTCTAACAACTAGATAAACAAAACCCATGAATCAACTCAAAAGTTTCTGCCTAGATTTTAGCGTAGTAGTGCACACCCACATCTGTTATTTTTGATGATTTCCTGGCAGGCTTAGAGCATTGCGAGCAAGCACTGTATCAGGGATTGTACTTGATGGTGAATGCTGACTCATGTCTGCAAATCATCACCTCTGTTCCTTTGCTGCTGACATTGAAGCTGGCTTTGCATGGGTTCTGGCAAACAATAGGGGTCAGATTGTCGTCAGGTGTGCTGGTCCTGTGTTCGGACTGGTTCCAACCTCTATAGGGCTGAAACGCATGGCATGGCATTCTCTCCTCAGCATGTTTGCTGAGGAGGATCTTGGAGTTCTATTTCTCAACCACAATGGCACCGTACCATCTGAGAAGCACATATGGAGGTAGGATACAAATCTATAAGGTAGTACCTTATAGTTTATCGGCGAAGGTCGACCCTACGATACAATGACGAAGGGAGGTAATGTATTACGTAGCTCAGCTTCCCCACGGAGCTCTACTTACAAATCCGCTAAAGCTCTTCTCGATGATCCAGTCTTATAGAGAACAGACCTTCATACTTAGGAAACCGAGACCGGAAGGTCGAGGTTAGGGAGGTTGACCGAGGGTGAGGTCGTTAAGTAATCGAGACCGAGGCGTGAGCCGAGGTCGAGGTTACTTAACGACCGAATCCCGAGGTCACCCGAACCGATCCTAAGTTGAAGGTCTGTTACTATGGGAAACCAACCGATGGTTAACGCCCAGGTTCCACGAGTCAGAAAACTAGCCGTTGGTAGCGAACTCAACCATGGTAACCAGTGCACTGCGGACCAACCGTCACAACTACTTTGCCAACGCAACAAGCGATCCATCCAGCCACCACAACAACAAGCCCTCGCGGCGTTTGAGCGACACAGCCCTTCTATTTAAAAAGAAGTACATGTTGTGGCAGTAGCAGTAGCAACAGTCGTTGTCGTTGTCGTTGTCGTTGTCGTTGCTGAAGGGTGGACGTTGTTGTGGTAGAGTCAGCGTCAGGCGGCAGCACTCGAACCACGGTAAACCAGGTTTTCACCATTGGAGGAGCTTTTCACGACTGCTTTATTCACACGAGGGAACCTTTAAGTCTCTGAATTTTACTTAAAGGCCCAAGTTCCCCATCCTACATTTTTGAAGAAACGGCAGTCAACCTTCCGTTGAAGGTTTGTACTCAAATTGCTACAGTAAATTAAAGGTCAGGAACCAGGCGAAAACCAAGGTGGTTTCCCGGTCTATGAAGCTTGTCATCAATCTGTACAAGCAAGGCTATTGACCAATCCACTCCGCCGGTTCTAGATTGGCTAGCTGGTCTACTTTAGAAGGATATATCTAGTGCCACGCCCGACGCTGCGGATAGCCATCCGCTCCGCAGTTTCAAGGCCGACCATGGCCGCTTGAGTGGTCTCCAGCGGCTCTGAATGAATGGCAACAGCAGCCAACAGAGAGTTCGAGAGAGAGAGAGAGTTCGAGAGAGAGAGAGAGAGAGAGAGAGAGAGAGAGAGAGAGAGAGAGTGGTGATAATCTGATTCGTTTACAGTAATTGATTGTTACAGTTTTCATGTGAAATTTCTTGTTGTTTGTTGTGTTGTTTCGTCGAGGACAACCTTCCTTCCGACTGGATAACTTAACAGTGACAGCCTCATCAACATAGCCAGCAGAGACTCCATTAGTATGCCTTCTTGTGACAGTCCTCTCAATGGATATCAAGGCAGGTTCTGGTGTTGTTAGTCAAGCCGTGTCGAGCAATCTTCGCACGTACAGCAGCAAAGAGGCCCACATATTATACGGGTTCCCAAACATACTCTTCTCCTTTGTAGTGAAAGATCTCGCGGCTACACCGCTTGTGGGAGCACTCTTTTCGAGTGTCGTGACCACACACAATCAAATCGAATCCAAAAAAGAGAGGATCCACAATCTGTTGTGTGTTGTCGTGTAGCCTCCTGGAGCGTCCGGTTGACGACTGTTGCCATGCCATTCAATGACTCGACGACGACACTTGTCCAGGCTGGTGATAGGGCTGGAACTAACACATCCTCTACAGCTATTCCATTCAACCCTCTTGTTAATCTAACCGTATGGATCAAAACGAAAACGACTGTCACTCCAAAACCAAAGTGTTTCCTTGGCCATCAGCAGTAAGTGAATAGATAGAACGTATATAGGTAAGAAATGATGGGGTTTTCTCTTCTATTCTGGCACTGCAGGCAACCAGAGACTCACCCGTGTTGTTCGAAGCTCTCCAACTTGACTGTCATGGGACCGAGAAAACAAACGTTCCCAAGCTGGTAATATTTTATTCTCAATGAGGATGGTTTGAGACGGTCGACTTGAATCGAATCAAACTTGAAGCTGCCTGATGGTACAACCGCACCGGTAGCGGTGCAAGGATATGCTCCCACGGATTGATCGGCTTGGATCACCAGTGATCCGACGCTTCGCTAGCTCCTGTGTGGTACCTGGTATAGTCCGATTGACTCGACTCGTCCGGTTGTTGGTAGAGGATTGAATGTCCTCTCATCGTCCGTGCGCTTCCGAAAATTTGGACCTATTGTCGGTAGATTGATTCCACCAAGGCCACTTGGATAAAGCACTCCTCCTACCGGTACCGCTCTTGACGGTCAAGCTTGGAAATCTCTCCTACCGTTTACAATTGGTATTCAAAGGGGAGAGAAGAGAAAAGTCAGTTCTGAGGCCGAAATTGACATCGTGGACCTCGCATCTCGTGGATCTTGGGGGAGACGGATCAGGACAGGATCAGTACGATCGTACCATGGCGAACACTTTCGATACTCTGCTCGTCGCTTGTTGCTATTTTATTTCAAAATACAACCACACACACAACCACAGCACAAAGAGCACACACAAGAGCACTGCATTGACAGGCAGGCAGCAGCCAGCGAAACAACAACATCTTGCCACCCGCAGAAAGAAGCAAATTGACGTCAATGCCGGGTACAGACACAGATTGACACTCTCACTGTGTCGCAGCGTCGCAGCAGAAGTCACCACAGCACATGTTCCGGAGGTCATGAGGGAACGAGAAGTCAGTGTCAACGTCAGAGTGCACATGGCAATATGACCGTGATGTGACGCCATCCGCCGCCGAAGAGCTTTCAATGCGCAAGTCACGATCTACAGTACCTATGCATATGTCCTTGATGCAGGTAAAGGTGAAGGAAAACTGAACTGTTAATTAATACGTACTCTGGTGGAGCAGCTGTCACAAGATCCAGAGGTCATAAGATTCTTCTGAGGGAACGAGCCTGACAGTCGGGGCCAACGTCAGAGTTCGCATGATCGGCAGAATGACCGTGATGGACTTGATCCTCCCTATGTCCTTGAATCATGAAAACTGGCAAACACTGCGCGAAAACAGTCTTGTAATTCATTTGTAAATCTTGAAAATTGCGTGAGAAACTGGCAAGGAGCAGTCGGAAATGATTCCATAAGTAAATGTAGCAAATGGAAGATGCAGTTTCGTTTGGCGACCGTCCAAAAGTTCCGAAGACGATACTTCAAGATGTCTTGCCAGGCTGCGGGGTCATTCCACCGATGGCTTACCTAGCTGACGGTAGTTACTGTACAGGTTGCAAATGATGGAGCCG